CACGACAGGGATGTCCCCTCTTACCACTGTTGTTTAATGTAGTGTTGGAAGTGCTAGTCTCAGCAATCAGACAACAAAATGAAATAAAAGGCATCCAAATTGGCAAAGAAATCAAACTTTCACTTTTCATACATGACATGATACTCTAAATGGAAAACCCGAAAGACGCCACCAAAAAATTGCTAGAACTGATACTGAATATAGTCAAGTCGCAGGATATAAAATCAATTGTACAGAAATTAGTTTCATTTCTATACACCAATAATGAAGCAACAGAAAGAGCTATCATGAAATCGATCCCATTTACAAGTACACCAAGAACCATAAAATATCTAGGAAGAAACCTAACCAAAAAGGTAAAAGATCTGTATGCTGAAAACTATAGAAAGCTTACGAAAAAAATTGAAGAAGACACAAAGAAATGGAAAAACATTCCATGCTCATGGATTGGAAGAACAAATACTGTTAAAATGTCGATACTACCCAAAGCAATCTACACATTCAATGCAATCCCAATCAAAATAGCAGAGCATTCTTCTCAAGCTAGAACAAACAATCCTACAATTTGTATGGAACCACAAAAGACCCTGAATAGCCAAAGTAATCTTGAAAAAAAAAAGCAAAGCTGGAGGCATCACAATCCTGGACTTTAGCCTATATTACAAAGCTGCAATCATCAAGACAGTATGGTACTGGTACAAAAACAGACACATTGACCAATGGAATAGAATAGAGAACCCAGAAATGGACCCACAAAGGTATGGCCAACTAATCTTCCACAAAGCAGGAATGAGTATCCAATGGAAAAAAGACAGTCTCTTCAGCAAATGGTGCTGGGAGAACTGGCCAGCAACAGGCAGAAGAATGAAATTGGACCACTTTCTTACACCATACACAAAAATAAACTCAAAATGGATGAAAGACCTAAGTGTGAGACAGGAAAGCATCAAAATCCTAGAGGAGAAAACTGGTAACAACCTCTTTGACTTTGGCTGCAGCAACTTCTTACTAGACATGCCTCTGAAGGCAAGGGAAATAAAGGCAAAAATGAACTATTGGGACCTCATCAAGATAAAAAGCTTCTGCACAGCAAAGGAAACAATCAATAAAACTAAAAGGCAACCAAAAGAATGGGAGACAATATTGCAAATGACATATTGGATAGAGGGTTAGTATCAAAAATGTATAAAGAACTTACCAAACTCAACACCCAAAAAACAAATAATCCAGTGAAGAAATGAGCAGAAGACATGAATAGGCACTTTTCCAAAGAAGATATCCAGATGGCTAACAGACACATGAAAAGATGCTCATCACTGCTCATTATCAGGGAAATACAAACCAAAATCATGTTGAGATACTGCCTCACACCGGTCAGAGTGGCTAAAATTAACAACTCAGGAAACAACAGATGTTAGCAAGGATGTGCAGAAAGAGGAACCCTCTTGCACTGTCAGTGGGAATGTAAACTGGTGCAGCTACTCTGGAAAACAGTATGGAATTCCTATAAAAATCAAAAACAGAATTACCCTATGACCCAGCAATAGCACCACTAGGAATTTACCCAATGGATACAGGAGTGCTGATTCATAGGGGCATATGTACCCCAATGTTTATACCAGTGCTTTCAACAACAGCCAAATTATGGAAAGAGCCCAAATGTCCATCAACTGATGAATAGATAAAGATGTGGTGTACACACACACACACACACACACACACACACACACACACACACACACTGGAATACTACTCAGCAATGAAAAAGAATGAAATCTAATGTGGATAGAACTAGAAGGTATTATGCTAAGTGAAATAAGTCAGAAAAAGACAGATATCTTATTTTTTACTCATATGTGGAATTTGAGAAACTTGATAGAAAACCATAGGGGAAGGAAAAATAAGTTACAGAGAGGGAGGCAAACCATAAGAGACTCGTAAATAGAGAACAAACTGAGGGTTGATGGGGGTGGGGGGTTGAGGTGGGGGGTTGAGCAGGGAAAATGAGAGATGGGCACTGAGGAGGGCACTTATCGGGATGAGCACTGGGTGTTGTATATAAGTGATTCTGAATCACGGGAATCTACTCCCAAAGCCAAGACTACATTGTATAAATCTGCCAAAAATGAAACATAGGGTATTATTGTGAATGCTATTATAAATTACACTGAAAATCTAACACTGACAATAAAATAATTTGATTTAAAACAAAAAAGAAAAAGAAAAAAGAAAAAAAATAGCCTGTGGTAATAGGGACCCAGAAAAATTCTTTTTGTCACAGGAAATTGGGCATCTTATCAGCCCAATAAAAGCCAAGGTAGAGCTCAGTCTGGAGAGCCTGATGGAAAAATCTCAGGGACCTGTCATTGTATATTGCCACCCTAAAGTTTTTTATATGATGCAGTGCTCACTGCCCCTCTCTCAACATCATACTTCCTCACTGAATTACTCTTGCTTCTTTCACTCTTTCAGTCAACCAGTATAATCACCTGTACCTAAAACCCTTTATATTGTTCTTCATTACTATTTGCAGAATATAAAATTAGACACAAAATAACATAATGAAAACACAGCATATCACTTTAAACAATGCCTATATAGGCAACTTCAGAATTGCATCTGTAGGTAGTCCAGACTTAGTATGTACTTACAGCCAAATGCATTGAAAAATCATGACATTATCTTATTCATAAGATAAAGACATCTACTTTAATAGATTCTTTTTAATTCAGAATATCATGAGGGAAATGTGAATCACAGGAGGCCTTCTCATGAAAGCACTAACAGAATCTTCCTATTCATATAAGCACCAACACAGTAAAGAATATTCAGTCACTTCTTTTACCTGTAGAAGTGAAAATGCATAGGTACTGTGTGAATCCTTAATTAACGCAAGAAAAGCCAATTATTTTTAGTACAAACTAATATATTTTATGCCAGTTTAAATTGTAAAATTGGAAGATGGCAAGAGTCGTCTTCACTTTGAAGTTTTACTCCTGTCTCCTGATCTACAATCATATCACTAGGTTTTACTATTCTTGTATATAGAAACTGGAGTATAAAGTGATGGAATGAAAGAGCATATCCAATTATCCACTAATTAATACTGTCCCTGAATAATCAATTGGGAAGTAGAAAGTACTTTGGTCTTATTGGAAAGTTTTACTCTTCTAGTCTCTGTTAATTATGGCTTCTAAGCTAGCTGTTTATCTTCAGATTTCTAACAATGTCCTAAGACATTTAAACTAGGAAAATTAATGACACCACTGACCCCTTGAAAATTTTAGTGAATATTATTTGACCTTTCAAGGGTGAAAACTAGATTAGTCATCAGATTTCAGATGCAGGTTTCATTCTTTAGAAAAACAATAAAACTAAGAAAATAGAGAATATAAATAATCACTACCAGATAAACATCAACATTCGATTTGAAATGCAGAGTATAACATAAAGCACCAGTATCCTTAACCTCAGTGGTTACTCTTCAATACACTAAACCTACATTTTAGGCTGGAAATCTTTAATTCCTATTTTCCACAAGAAAATTTTTAAATGTAATTCCTTTAGGTCTGTCAAAATTACAGATGCAAAACCTTTCATCATCATAAGGAGTATAGATTGACAGATCTCTTGACAAAATTAGTTGGTGGATGGCTCCTAATTGGTTTGTCAACTTCAAATCATTGGTAATTTCAAACTTTAAAAACTGGGCTGATAGTTGGGGTGCCTGAGCTCTACTGTAAACTTGGCTGTTGACCTTCTATGAGACTTTGCTCAAGTTGCTTATCTTGTGCTTCAAGTGTCTTTTTTTTTTTTTTAGATTTTCTTATTTTAGATTTTAGATTTATTATTTTGGATTTTATTATTTAGTCGCATGCTCTACTGACTAGGCCAGCCAGGCACCCCTCAAGTGTCCTCACTTTAAATGGATAAAATAATACAGTCCTGTCCTATCTCACTATTATAACAGAAGTAAGATTATATGTGAACAAAGCATTTAAAGTTGTAAAGAATTTTTTAATAAAAAAGGCTATTATATAAGTATTTAGTTTTCTAGTACTGTATCATCAGTGGACTCAAACGATCCAATGTTCATAGAGCTTCTTACACATCAAACAATCATGGAACAGTATGCTCATTGATTAAAAATAGATCAGTCTGATCCAGTTAGAAATTGGTTAAGGAAGGTAAGTATATTCTAATTCTTAATTCCAAATAAAGACAACAAAATAAATACATAATGCGGATGTGTTTGTACACAGAATGTTTCACATAATTGCAGATATCAAGCTTTTTTTTTTTTTTTTTAACAAATTCAACCAGCATTATCTTATTTGAATATAGCAGGAGAAAATTGGTATTTCTTTCCATCCTGAAAAAAATCATGTAAAAACTACATAAAGAATGATAAACACATTATCTCGTTTTTGGCAAAATTAGGAGACAAAACACAAAATTAGTAGAAAGGCTGCCCAAACAATAGAGATAGAGTAGGGGAACATGCTGTAGGCAGCAGAAAGAAAATTCCGCAGTTGAAGATGTCAGAAAGAACAAATTTCACTTCTTGAATGTGATGGGCACACCATAAAGTATAAATCCCTTATTTCTCTCAGTAGAAACAAGGTACATGGGCTGATAGTCGGGACTCTCCTGGATATGGTTTGGTCCCAAAAAGTATAGGGGGACAGTGACACATAAAAAATGATATAAACAAACTATATTTGTTAAAAGAAGTCTGTCTCTGTGGCTACGGGAGAAAAGGGACTGTCTATGTGCATTGACTGGGGCAAAATAGAGGAAAAAAAGAGGAAAATCTAACAGCGAAAAAGAATGTTCACACACACAAAACTGTTACTACAGAGCAGATGAAAATCATGCCAAATACTTCACCATTAATTAATGAAACTTAATTATGCAATCAACTCTAACTTGGATTTACAAAAAACAAAATTTTACTGTCTAGAAGGATAATAATGACTTAAACTAGTATAGTCACTCACCTCTGATTCACATTTTATTTTTTCTTCTTGTAGAAGACGTGCAAATTCTTCTTTCTGGTGTTCAAATTCTGATTTAAGAAATGTATGTTCATAGCGGAGTTTATTATATTCTGTTCTATACTTTTCCACTTCCTAAATTAAAAGATTGCAATTTATGACAGACAAGTTTATAAATGAAATTTGTACTTACTCCAAAAATCGCTTTTGCAAATATAATTTTAAAGTGCATTATATTGAAAGCTATTCTAAAAAGTAAAAAATAAGCTTAACATAAGTATAAATAAACCCTGAAAAAAAATTTTATGACAAGAATCCTATATACAGAATCAGTACATTCTTAAGAAAGTGCCAATAAAGCAAATTATCATTCAATTAACCTTATTTCCTCACTGATTCTCATAATAATAAAAATGAATAGCACATCAACACTTTTGACCTCTGGGCTTAAAAAACTAATATTTAAGAATGTAGTACACCTTTCAAAACATAATTAATTTTTAAAAATTAACTCTACAGTAAAATAGAAAATAGCCTCCTGAAAGCCAGACAGGATGAATTCAAAGTAGATAAAAGATTATTTGAATATTTAGTACAATAACTTAAGGTTCAATCAAATAGTACAATGATAGGAGCGCCTGGGTGGCTCAGTTGGTTAAAGATCTGACTCTTGATTTTGGCTCAAGTCATGATCTCAGGTTGTGAGATCAAGCCCCTTGGAGGGACCCACACTGGGCGTAGGCCTGCTTAAGGTTCTCTTTCCTTTTATCCCTCCCTGCTCATACACATATGCTCACTCATGCCTAAAAAATAACAATAATAAATTATATATAGATACAATATGTGTTATATATAATATTACAATGATAGTTCAACACACCAGTCTAAAGAATATATGTAGTACCAACCTTTCTAACCAGGAATACATGCAACTCTCTGGTATGCTTCCAATTCTGCTTACTAACACTACAAAAGTTGCCAGTATTCTAAATCCAGTAACAACTCAGGCAATAGAGAAGACGAAGGAGATACTATTTCAACATTCATCAGGTAATTAAGTAATAAGAATGCCTCCTAAAATACTCAGATCACTGTAAGTCTTTAGCTGAAAGATTTCTCTAAGCCAGTTTACAAGCCAAGAAAATGGGTTTCATGATTTTATTAGAAACATACTTTTTTTAAAGGTTTTACTTAACTTGATTGCCTATTTTAAGTCTAAGTGGCTTTGTTTACATCCCAAAATTAAGTCTCCTCTCAACCGTAATGCTTTGGTTATCCACCAGGAGGATATTCAAAAGACAACTTTATCAGGCCAATAAGCCATTTATAAAAGTGGATTCTACAACTGTTTCTGTGCAATGCAGCATCACTAAACTACAGCTTTCCAAACAGATTCATCTGGAAGGGGACAATATTCATTTGTTATGTATAAGTCCTGGTCTATTTGTTAAATAAGGTTGCATATATAAGTTGTCAAGCATAGTACTTAATATACGTCATCTTTTCCTATTCCATTGATTAAACATTTAGTCATATTATACCAATATCTCATAAAAGGAAGGAAACCTTTCAATCTAAAGGAAAACTGTAACAAATTTTTATTTTTATGAGGTTGCATGAAATATACTCTTTCATTCCACAAATATTAATTGAGCACCTACTGTATGCCAGGAACCATTCTAGGAACTTGGAATATACAATGAACCAAACAGATAAAGGTTCCTTCTCTCATGCAACTTACATTCTAGAGATGGTAATATAGAAAATATAAATATTATACATCATATGAGAACATGATTAGTACTAGAGAAAAATAAAAAGTAGAGCAGGGTAAATGGGGATCCAAAGGTCTAAGAAGTGATGGGAAAGGCAGGAAGAAAATTAAATGGAAATACTAGTCAAAGTTGGCCTCATTGAGAAAGTGACATTTCAATAAAGACTTAAAAGAGAGGAGGAAGTTGGCCAAGAGATATCTGGAAGGACACTGTTCATGTCACAAGTAAGAGCTAACACAAAGATTCTTGATTTGTTCCATTTCTGGAGTGCCAAAGAAACATCAAAGAAGCCAAAGTGGATGGAGGAAAGGAAGTAGGACAGATTATGGGACCTCATCTTGTGCAGCCCAGAAGTAAGGATTCTTAAGTTAGAAGAGGTGCTACTGCAAGGCTTCTAAGAAGAGGGATAATGGTTTTAATCAGTCACATAAAGACAAATGCACAGTTCCTTCCATATAAATTACTTACTTCATCCAGATTCCTAAAACGTTCCCTCATTGGAGTTTCTAATTCTTGTTGTATCTGGGCTCGTAACAGTTCCAACTTTTGTGGAGTTAACACCTAATATGTAGAGAAATATAAAACAATTCTAAATATGAAATCACAAATATTAAAATCAAGAATTCACCAAGTTTCAACACCTAAATAAAACAATAAAATTCAATTCATAGAAATTATGCAATATACTTAACTTTACAGTAATCACTACATAAATAGAACCATTATTTGAAACAATACTTTAAGATCACAACTTCAGGGCCTCAGAGATGTCAAAAATCCCATTAACATGAGGTAAAGATACTCCCTATTATTACTATGACTGTTGAGAATAACTATGTTGGCAGCCTAGGTTACCATGCATGATACAACAGCTAACTATTTTCTAAAGCAATTAAAATAAAGGTGTAATAATTTGGTATATCACAGAGAATTCTTAAGACTTTTTTTTTTTAAGTTTATTTCTTTTTGAGAGACAGAGTGAGTGGGGGAGGGACAGAGAGAGAGGGAGACACAGAATCCAAAGCAGGTTCCAGGCTCTGAGCTGTCAGCACAGGGCTCGAACCCACAAACCAGGAGATCATGACCTGAGCCAATGTTGGACACTTAACCAACTGAGCCACCTAGATGCCCCTCTTCAGATTTTTTTTTTTTAATTTTAATTTTTATTTTTTATCTTCAGACTTCTTATTTTCAATCAGAAAAGGCTGATTTTTACTCTGGCCACCAAAACAAGGTTCCTCCCTATTATAGCTCTCTGATAGAACTCAGATTTTAGTAAGTAATTACGTATTTAAGTAAGCTCTGTAAGGGCAAACACAATCCCTATTCACCATGGTGTATTTCCAACACCACACACTACTGCCTGGCACATAGGATCACTCAATTATTATTTCTTGAAAGAATGAACGAATACTGGTTATAAGACAAAAACCTAGTTTATATTTACATTAATCTCTGAAAATGAAGAATAATACTCAGTTTAATTCATTCATTTATTCATCAATACTCCACACAGCCCAGAAACTTTCCAGAATACTTACTATACATAGCATTCTGCAATATATTATATAATCTACATAACATGCTGTTCTAAATACCTTACATGCATTTACCAATTTATTTAAACCTTGCAATGATCCTCAATGTAGCTATATTATCATCCTTTTTTTTTTACAGAAACTGAAGTATACACAGAGCCTAACTTTCTAAAGATCACAAAAACTCACAGGAAACATTTCTAACTCTGTAAGAAGTTCAAACTCTCATATGAAAAATAACTTATGCATACAAATAATTACAAAAATAACCAATATAAGCTCATCAAACAGGTAAAAAGAGAAGATTTTATGTATAGAAATAGTGGCACATCAAAGGAACAGGAAAACTAAAGCTTCAATAGAACACAAAAACTAAGAATGGATAACATTTTAAATTCCTTGGGGAGGAAAATGATCCTCAAAGTTAAGCTAAAGGCATTTTGAATTGAACCACACTAAGCACCATAGACAATTTAGAATCCTGGATCCCTGTGCATTAATACTCTCTAGATACTATGATGATCAAGGCCATGTTGAAACATTTCCAAATGCCACCTAGCAGAGCTGCACCCTGGCTAGGAACAAAAGGGAAGGCAGAGTAGAAAATTCCTAGGTATGAGGTTTACACTCTTATAATTTACTCAGTATTCAGTAGTACTTTTAAAAAAAAAATGTTTTTTACTTAAAATGAATATAATTACATAAATAAAATAATTGAAACAAAAAATATTAAAAACCTAAGTCTTTTTTACTTCAGTCATCCAGTTTCCCTCTTAAGAAGCTATCATTGCTAGGGGCACCTGGGTGGCTCAGCCGGTTAAGTGTCCGACTTCAGCCCAGGTCACGGTCTCATGGTCCGTGAGTTCGAGCCCCGCGTCAGACTCTGGGCTGACAGCTCAGAGCCCGGAGCCTGCTTCAGATTCTGTGTCTCCGTCTCTCTCTCTGCTCCTCCCCCGTTCATGCTCTGTCTCTCTCTGTCTCAAAAATAAATAAACATTAAAAAAAAAAAAAGAAGCTATCATTGCTAATTTTTATGTATTCTTCTTGAAATAATATACAAATATATACACACACACAACTTTTAATTTTTACATAAAGAAAGGCATGCTATACATATGTCTCTGTGCCTTGGTTATTCACTGAAGGTATTCAAGCTTAAGAATGGCATCACCATATCTACATTTTAGGAAGAAGCAAAATGGATCAAAACCTTTGGCAGGAGAAAACTGGTAACTATGGGGGGAAAACAATTTCAGTGAATGGAGTTGGGAAACCAGATAGAAAGCTCTTGTTACAATCTGGTTTATGATGTCAAGAGTCTGGGTAATAGCATCAGGAGTCCAAACTGAGAAGAGGTGGTAATTAAAAGGAACAGAGTAATAATAGATAAGCCTTATTTGATTCCTGTTTCAAAAAAATCAACTTTAAGCAAGCAAAACTGTGGGAAAATGAGGGAAATGTCAACAAAGATGCAATATAAATAAGATATTAAGGAATAAGTACTTTTAGGTATGATAATGGCATGATGACTATGCTTTTAAAGGAGAAACTGCCTTGGGATGTAATAAAGATACATACTAAAATATTTTGAGTTGAGATAATATGATTTGTGTCAAAATAATCCAGAGTGGTTCAAGGACAGAGCAGGGATGTCAGAAGATAAAACAAGACTGGTTGAGAGATGGTAATTATTGAAATTATTGATGGTGGGTGATGGGTATGTGAGGATGCAATACAACCACCCTCTCTACCTCAGGGCTTGTTTGAGACTTCTGTAATTAAAGGTTAATTAGAAATAAAAGTGCTAGGGGTGCCTGGGTGGCGCAGTCGGTTAAGCGTCCGACTTCAGCCAGGTCACGATCTCGCGGTCCGGGAGTTCGAGCCCTGCGTCAGGCTCTGGGCTGATGGCTCAGAGCCTGGAGCCTGTTTCCGATTCTGTGTCTCCCTCTCTCTCTGCCCCTCGCCCGTTCATGCTCTGTCTCTCTCTGTCCCAAAAATAAATAAACGTTGAAAAAAAAAATTTAAAAAAAAGAAATAAAAGTGCTTCCACTTCCAACAGATGGCATAAAAGAAATCAGATTTATTCTCCTGCTAGAATAAAAGAAGAGACAAAAATCCGTTTTCAAGACAATGGGCCTAATAAAGCAACAGAGATCTCTGAGAGACAAACAACAAAGAAAGTAAGCTTTGAGAATGCTGCCAGCCACAGGAAGAGATACCCAGGCGATGTCTGATGGACTCTCTGACCTAAGCAAATGGAACTGAGAATCCAGAAGGAGCAGTGTGGCAAGAGTCACAAAACAGGGTACCAGAAAAGAGGGTGGCACACAAAATTATGAAGACCTGCAAAAGGTCCCTGTTGACTCATTCAGTAGAGTACCCCAATCAGCACATGCAAGTAAAGAAAATATTTAATTAGGGCCAGGAAAAGAACAATCTGAAAGAATTAGATGGATAAGTAATCTGAACTCACACAGAGGTATGAATAGTTGTTTTTCCCAAAAGTCAGGCTGAAAAACTTCATTCCACTGAGAAATGAGTACTGAGAAGGTTCTCAGTATTGACAAATAAGGAGCACTAAACATTAACCTGCTCTCAACCAATCTTAAAAGCAAGACTCAGAGGGGCGCCTCGGTGGGGCAGTCGGTTAAGCGTCCGACTTCAGCCAGGTCACGATCTCGCGGTCCGGGAGTTCGAGCCCCGCGTCAGGCTCTGGGTTGATGGCTCAGAGCCTGGAGCCTGTTTCCGATTCTGTGTCTCCCTCTCTCTCTGCCCCTCCCCCGTTCATGCTCTGTCTCTCTCTGTCCCAAAAATAAATAAACGTTGAAAAAAAAAAAAAAAAGCAAGACTCAGAAAGATGAAACTGCTTCCAAGTAACTGTCCCAGAACAGTTTTTGTCCCAGAGTTTGTCCCAGAACAAAGCTCAAGAGTATTTTACCAGAACACAAAGCCATCTAGTATTCAAAATAAAATTAACAATGTCTAGCATCCAAAAAAATTTATCAGACATGCAAAGAAGCAGGAAAATATTACCCACAATAAACAAGAAAATCAACCAACCAAAACTAACTCAGAAGTGATACAAATTTGAGAATTAGCAAAGACATTAAAAGTTATTATAATTGAATTCCATATGTTCAAAGAGAAAATATTGAACATGTTAAGTAGATATAAGGAAGGTATGAAAAAGATCAAAATTGGACTTCAGATTAAAAACTACAATTTCTGAAATGAAAATACACCATACGGGATTAATGGCTGCTTAGACACTGCAGAAGAAAACAGATCAGTGAACTTGAAGACATGACAACAGAATCTATCCAAAATGCAACAAGGAGACAAAAAAGATTGAAAATAAATGAACTGAGAGTGAACTATGGTAGAACTTTAAGTAGCCTAATAATGGGATCACCAAGGAGATCAAAGAAGGCAGAAAAAACTTTTTTCTGAAGTAAAGTACAACAATTTTCTATATGTGATAAAAACTGTAAGCCCATAGACCAAAGAAGCTCAATAAATCCTAAGATCCTAAGTACCAGAAAGATGAAGTACAAGGCAGGTCAATCAAATTGCTCAATATCAGCAATAAAGAGGAGGGCCTGGCTGGCTCAGTCAGTAGAGCATGCAACTCTTAAAATCAGTCGTGCTTCAAGCCCCACATTGGGTGTGGAGCCTACTTAAAAAAATAAATTCAGCAATAAAGAGAAAATCTTAAGAGCAGCCAAGAAAAAAAAGACTCACTGCATACACAGAACAAAGATAAGAATGACAGCAAATTTCTTATGTGAAAAAATATCTGTGAAAAGAGAGAGCAATACCTTTAAAGTACTAGGGAGACAGTCAACCTAGAAATCAATACTCAGCAAAAATACCTTTAAAATCAATTATTTTTTGATATATAAGAGCTGAAAAAAATTCTCACCAATAGATCTGTACTATAAGAAACGTTAAAGAAAATCTTTAAGAAAGTAGAAAAATAATACAAATGGAAATATGGATCTACACAAAAGAGAAAAGAACACCGAAGTTGGTAACTACACAAGAGTCTTATGATCTATAAGCTCTCTGATAAAAGTCTCTGTAAGATTTTTTTTTATCTCTTAAGAATCTTCTAAAAAACAAGCACACACACTAAAAAAAAAAAAAAAAAAAAAAAAAAAAAAAAAAATCTATCCTCCTCCCTCCCCCCACGAAAACACACATAGAGTTAGAGAGTTTTCCCCATGCTATTTTAGGAGGAAAGTATGCTGTGTCTTAGACTTCTAATGGAATACTGCCACCACTTGTCTCAAAAGAAATTTAACAAAAATGTGTCATTACCTATATTAAATCTGTATTATACCAACACTTGTTATGTTGATAAAAAACAGACCAATTATTTTCCAAAGAATGCTTTAACTTAAGAAGGCAAATATTGCTGTGCCAGAGGTTCTTAACAAGTTAATGACAAACTGAATAATGAATTTTGCTGAGCTTCCTAGCAGCCAAATAAAATGGGAAAAAACTGGCTTATAAAGTTGCAATTGCCTGGCAGCATAAAGAAAGCACATACATTTCTGGTAAAGTAACTTTTAAAATTTGTATCAGAAAATATATCAAATAACTCATATTAAAAAAAAAGGTTTGGCTAACATGGTACATAACAATAACAATAGCTAACATGTTCTAAGTACTTATTATATCAAAGCACTGTACCAACACTTCCTATGCATTGTCTCATTTCATCTTTACAGTCATCCTAAAAGTCCGACACTATTACTATTCCCATTCACTACAACTACACCAATGAGACAGAAATATTCTGTCTTTTCTATCACTTTTCTATAAAAGCCAAAGGGGTATTAAATCTTAACTCAGAAAAGGCATTCTGCAGGTAGACAAGATAATACATGTTTATTCTGAAAATCACCTTTCATAAACATTTATTAAAATATTTCTTGCTGATTCTACTTTGTTGAATTGACTTTATTCAACCCACAATTTGTACAAATTGCAAACATCCATAAAGCAAACAGCTACATTGCTTCAACATGTGTATATAAATATATAGAGAGATCTTTCTTTAGCTTATTTTTGCCAGATACATATCATATAGAAACCAGTTATGTTTATCTTGAAAAACAGAAACTTTACCAGATAAATTATATTTGCCAATGAACATCTGGGAAGTTATCACATGGAGAAATGTCCTAAGTTATTTTGTGCAGATCCAAGGAATAGCACAAGAACCAACAGAGAGACCACAGGGAGGATGATTTCATTTCAACATGAGAGGGAAAATATTTAACACACTCCAATCCATAAATGGAACTGGATCACTTTAAACATTCACTGGGTTCTCTTGCACTGAAAGCAATGAAGCAGAGAATAAAAATCCCTGTGTCACAAATGTTCTAAAAAGGAATTCTGCTTTGGATAGTGTGTTAGTTTCCTAGAGCTACCATAACAAAATACCACAAACTAGGTATCTTAAAACAACAGAAACTTATTGTCTCACAGGCTAGAAGTCCAAAATCAAGGTGCCAGCAAGGCCACACTCCCTCTGAAAACTGTAGGGAAGGATCCTTCTTTGCATCACTCTAGCTCCTGGCGGAGTGCTGGTGATCCTGGCCATTCCTTGGCAGTTGCAGCACTTGGATCTCTGCTTCTGTCACTATAGGATTATTCTCCCCACCTCCCCCGCTGCCCTCACCCATGTTTCTGTCTTTGTGTCTGTTCTCCACTTCTTCTAAAGACACCAGTCATACTGGATTAAGGACCCATCATCCTTCAGTATGACCTCATCTTAACTAATTACATCTGCAAAGACTCTATTTTCAAACAAGGTCACATTCTGAGGTACCGAGCATTAGAAATTCAACATACCTTTTTGGCAGACACAATTTAACTCATGACAGACAGGAAAAAATGAGAGAATTATCTAAGATGCTTAAGCTTTAGGTACATATGAGAGAAGAACATTGTATTATATATGAACAGAACATTTCCAATTCATTCATTTGTTCTATTTACTCATGTCATTCATTTGACAAATATTTGCTACTATAAAATATATAAATACAAATATAAATATACTTGAGCACTGGAGACACACTGAAAAAAGCTCCTGCCCTACGGAGGCTGCATTCAAATAGAGTAAAAATAGCCATCATTTATGAGTATCTATCTATTCTGTCAGACATTGTACTAAAAATCTACATGTTATTAGTCTTCACAACAACCTGTTAGTTAACAACTTTTACCCTCTTTACATGACAAAACGAAGGCATAAAAACCACTGTTTGTTGAAGGCCATCATCTCATTGGTGAATTGACCCATTTTTGGTTATAAAAACGACCTTTTTATCTTAAGTGACACTCTTTTTGTCTAGAAGTCTATTTTATCCGATACTAATATAAACACTCCAGTCTTCTTAAGCTTATTGTTTGTATGCACTTGGTACAAATAGCATGTCTAGAAGTTACTCTGAAGAAACAGAGTAATTATATCTGCAATGCCTAAAGAATACTTTGAATTCCTTGGGTTCAGTGCTCACGGATTCTCATTTACGTAGGTCTCTGACTATTGCAGAACAAATTAATCCACCAGTTCTATAGGCTTGAATTACATTTCCCTACTCAACTCCTATTTCTGAGGTTTTTATTTGTTTAAATGTCCCAAATATACCTAGGAATGAAACAGCACAGGAGAGGCTCCAACCCAAGCTTAATGGTGGTGTTTCCAACAACGGAAGATTTCAAGACACTGAATGACCAACTTTTATTTTTTTTTTTTTAATTTTTTTTTTCAACGTTTTTATTTATTTATGGGACAGACAGAGACAGAGCATGAACGGGGGAGGGGCAGAGAGAGAGGGAGACACAGAATCGGAAACAGGCTCCAGGCTCTGAGCCATCAGCCCAGAGCCTGACGCGGGGCTCGAACTCCCGGACCGCGAGATCGTGACCTGGCTGAAGTCGGACGCTTAACCGACTGCGCCACCCAGGCGCCCCTGAATGACCAACTTTTAACACTGCTGTCAAAGAAATCCATGAATTGGGTGATAACGCCATACTTACTAGATGAAAGGTAGCTTTTTACTCTATCAACTTACACTTCCAGTATTAAAAATACCTTATTATTTGTGCCAAGCACTTGATAAACAGAAATACACAGTTGGTGTCACTTAGAGATTAAATGAATACAGGAGAATTATCACTGCTAATATCTACTAATTTGAAATTTATGGTAAGTTTGACTGGTGCTATAGTTAAGTTTGGCTCTGGTCTATTTTCTAGGCAAATGAGAAATGAAACTATAATCACTACTTCAGGATCAACTATTTTTTGCTTTAGAAACACCATTTACCTTCCATTACACACATAAATTATGTGCCCATATTGTTTTCATAGTCTTTTAAGTGGCCCCTTAAAAATAACCATCAGTCTTGTGAACTATACCTTAATAATAAAAATAATTTTTAATAAAAAATAAAACCTTAAAAAAACCTATCAGCTCAGTTTCAGTCATTATACTTAAAGGAAAATTAGTAAAACTTTAAAAAATACTCTTTAACTCTGAATATTTATCAATTCAAACCAGTCTTTCCCCTAATTATTCTGAATAGCACAATACCTAAATCAGAACAGATAATTTAATACAAATTTGCATAAAATAACAGCTTCATGGTTAAACCCTATGTGGTAGCTAACATTCTAGAATATATGAAAGAATATTAAATTATACCACCTGGAAATATAGCAAAATACTCATTAAGAATACAGGCAGAACTCACCAAATTTACCAGTATCTGACTACTTTTGTACCATAGGCACAAAGGGCAGGCTTCCCCAAGATGGGCCAGTTGGCATGAAGATTATTTTGACTTCAAAGTAATCAAAACCCCACAGATTCAGGAAAAGCTCTTTACTTCTCCCTCAACTGCCTAAATTTAATTGGAAAGGAGAACCTATACCAAGAGGAGAGCTATTAACAGAGGTTCCTCTGTTAATAAATTTGACCACTTAACAGGGCAACCTTTGTCTTCCAAACATCTCCTCTCACCATCCTGATAATGATCTTCTTTCCCCTGTATCCCCAGACTTTATGGGTCTCCCTAGCTCAGGATGTCACATAAGCATCCTGTTGCCTGCCTTTGGAATTCTGTGTGTGTGGATTCTGAATACTTACCAAACTAAATTTGATTTTCTTTTGTTAATTTGTCTCATATCCATTGGATTCTTAGTCCAGCTTAGAAATACTTTGAGGTGCAGAGGAAATTTCTTCCCAATAGTACTCACTGAAATATATCTTCTTACCTGCAGTTTCATTTCTTCTAAGTCTTTAGTTTTCTCTACTAATTCCCCTCGTAGCTCTTCAAGCAGCAGCTGAAATTTTTCCTGGTGAGTTTGCTTTTCATTTAATAGGCGCTTGAGTTCATTTTGTGACTTTATGTACTCATCTTGCAACCTGATTTAAAAAAAAAAAAAAACAAACTCAATTTTAAGGATATCCTTTACTTTCTAATGACCTTACTTTATGTAAAATCAACCAACACTACAGAACAAGACCTTATTCCGTTAAATTCACAAACATCTTTTCTTTATAGAGTTTCACTTAATTATTAACACTGTAGTTTATAAATATAATTTTACTTAAGGGGCGCCTGGTGGCTCAGTTGGTTAAGCATCTGACTCTTGATTTCAGCTCAGGGTATGATCTCACGGTTCATGGGTATGAACTTCGTGTCATGCTCTGCACTAACTGTGGAGCCTGCTTGGGATTCTCTCTTCCCTCTCTCTGCCCTCCCCCCACCCTCTCTCTTTCAAAATAAATACAATTTTACTTGAGGGGGAAAAACACACTTAGCCACCTAGATACATTTAATTTTCTAGGTCTTGCTACTTTCAAAGCAAGACTTTTATCAACTCAAAAAACACTTGAGATCATGGTTAGTTTTGAATTAACTAATTTTAAAGTGAAAATTTTACTATTAAAAAGTTTTAAAACTATATACTGCAAACTAACAAAAATATACTGTATGTTCCAGAACAAATTCAGACAAAAAAATATTTAATAAGGCCCCTCACCTCCAAATTTAAGCAATTTACCTTGTGTGTTCGGCTTTAAGAGTCTGATAGTTAGTTTTATGATGTTCACATCGTAACCTTTCATCAATTAACATTTTTTGCACCTCAGACTGAGAATATGTCAGCCCACTGTCTCCACCAGGAGGAAATGTGGTGGGAAAAGTGTCCATACTGTTAAGTGAGCAAATCACCATGTAAAAGTAAGTTCTGGCTTCCTTATTGTCTTAGTTTTCTTTTCAAGAGTATTTTCCACTTCCTTCTTGCTAAGACAGACACTCAGGACACCAAATTATACCTGCACAGAGAAATGAACTTGGTTAGTGATGAGTTAAACTCTTTCAGTGTTACAGTCTTTTTATCATTTCTTGTTATTCAACTATCATTTCTATAACAAAGCCCAATTTTTCAGATTTCTAATTGTTCATAAAACAAAAAGAACAAAGTTGAATCATACCTTAACAAACTTTCTTTACTTCCACGCCAAGCTTATGTGACCATCAATTTCACATCTTCAAGTACTGACCTAACTAGAACTACCAACTTTTCCAGTTTAGGTCCTCTTGGATTCACAAACCACAGATAGTTCCTGAAGCTACTGGAGTAAACTTGAAAGAAAGATCCTAGTACAAAATCCACACTGTGAAATCAGGGGAAAAACCATCTGTAACTTGACAAATGGCTAGAGAAAATTATAATGTTCACAAAGATGACCTTCAACAAGTAACTATGTCTGTGATTAATCCTACAAAGAGTCTTTTATTTGACACAAGGTGAGCTGTACTCATGCTATTGACTCAGAAGAGAAATCAGTCCACACATAAATGTTGATCACCTATGTGTTTGCGCTGTACTATGAGCAGGAAACTAAATCACCCCAGCTATCCCCAAAAGCACTGATCCAGGATTATGAAAGTAACTGTTTGTCTAGAAGTAAAAAATAAGGACAAAGTGTTTTTATTGTAAATAATTAAAAATGAAAGTTTTAATCAAAACAATTCTGCCCCCCTTAGCTTTCTTGATCTTTGTCAAGACTATTTTATCTTTCCCTAATAGCATCTCCACTGGTCATGGGTTATCATGAAATACCTTTTCTTTCTACAAGAAAAGATCTTTAGCATACACAAACCAATGGCAAATTACTCAGTCTCTCTTGTATTATACCATTTCTGATAAATTAATGTGATGTCTGCATATTACCTAAGATGACTTTTAAACTAAAATAAAGTTACTTTGGTTTCCTGTCAAATCACATTTTAACAGAAGGAAAGAAGTCCTTCAAGAAAACTTCACATATTATTCATGTTAAATGTGCAACAGTGCACTGTTTGTAGCAGCTGCCACAGTATTATCCTGTCAAAAGTATACATGTGTCAGGGAATTAACTAACTGGATCATAAAACTGGCACATAATTTTGACTCTGCTTTTTGATCCAAATTAATTTTTAAGAGATAGAAACATGCAATGTTAACTTATCTCATACTTTCTAATGATACCACCAAAAGGCATTATAAGGCTTTAATTTTAACTAGCTAAAAGCTTAAACTACATAAGAAAAAACCAACAGCTACCCTTTAGTCCCACTACTAGTGAAACAAAGATTTCCAAGATAAAATGAATAATTTTATTTTCTATTCTAGTTGACAGCAAATATTCTAACTCCTACGTTAAAATGGAAGTTAAGGGTGGCTCAGTCAGTTGAGCATCCAACTCTTGATTCCAGCTCAGGTCATGATCTCATGGTTCGTAGGTTCGTGCCCCATGTCGGGCTCTGTGCTGACAATGCTGAGCCTGCTTGGAATTCTCTCTCCCACTCCCTCTGCCCCTCCCCCCCCCACCCACGTGCACATGCATGCGTACCTTCTCTCTCTCAAAATAAATAAACTTTTAAAAAAATAAAATAAAATGGAAGTTAAGTCCCCATAGAAATAAAATTCAATAAGACCTGGATATTTTAGGAAAATAGAGTTAATGATTTAAATTCTTCCCTTCTGGCAGTAAAATCTACTACAAGTAGTTTTCAGGACTTCACTAATTGCAGGATATCCATTTCTTAATCAGCACAACCATTACCTTGTTAACCTTAAAAAACAAAAATAAAAACAAAACAAAACAAAACAAAACAAAAAGCAGTGTTTCTTCTTCTAGCTGGTATAGTAAAGTAGCATCCAGGTACAAGGTCAAGTCCATCTCTTCCTGTTGGGTCTACAATTGGTAGGGAATGAGAGCTCCCCTTGCTGAACCTCCCAACTTCATTTTAATGAGGTTTCCCATTATTAGTTTTCATAACCTCATCTCCAAATCTAGTTCTGTTGCAAATGTATCTGTATTGCCCTCTGGTATTTTCTTGACTCAAAGTTATGAACTCCTGGGTTTCATCTGCCAATAGTCTTTTTCAGACTTTTCTCCTCTGTTAATTTCAGAATCACAGAAAACTATCTGCTTATTTGCCAAGTCTTACCAAGGTCAGAATGAATTTTTTATCTGTTTTTTGGTATTTTGCAGATATATTGTCCTCCAGTTCAGCAGTAATCAATTTATCAATGAAAATCTTGGAAAATATAGTTATGGTAGTCCTCCAATAAGATATCTAGTAACATAGACAGAAAGGCCTCATAAAACATAAGTCTTTCTCTGAACTTCAAAAGTGGTTCCACAATTCTATATTCAAGCTTACAAAGAAACAACTTCTAAGTTTCATGCTAATTATATAAGGAGGCTTTTAGCAAAAAACAAAAATCCCAATTAGCTAAACACTGTGGGAAGTGTTTTACCAATCTCTTATACCAAGAAATCTGAAGATAGCCTTCACTTCCAGTAATAAAGGACTAGGTAATTTAGATCATGCTTCCTGCCTAGGACAAGAAAATCTGGACATATGTTTTAAAAATCTGCTTGAAGACACTGGAAAACTAACAACAGAATATTTACTGAAATGGGAACAAGGGAAGATGTGAACGCAGAAAGAGGAGACTGGAATTTGGGAGCACTGTTCTCCTAAGGGCATTTGCCAGTTCCAGAGACCGGGAGACTGAATGCCTTCTGACAGTCTTCGTATTCAAAGACACAGACTAGAACGGCAAGGAGAAGGCCTGGTGAACACCCCCCTCCATTTTGGATACAGACTTTAAAGGCTTACCCTTATTATTGCTACTAAGGGTAATTCAGATGAATTATATTAGAATAGGCTGCAACTTGCTCTAAAAAACAATTTTACAAATAAATATGACACAATAAAATTTTTTTAGAAATTTTAAAACTCAAGTCATGGGAAGATAAGAGAACATGAACTAAAGTCACAAGAAGCAAAAGTATTTAAATAGATAACATGAGAGCCTCACTATCAGAGTTGTCAGACAACGATTCTAAAAGAAATTTTCTTATAGTAATATTATGTATAAGACAATAGGAAACAAGGTTGAGAATCTTGTAAGAGAATACAAAACCATAGAAAGAAACCAATGTAAACTCTAACACGGAAAAATTCTATAACCAAAAGTAAAAACTCAATGCACAAGCAGCATAACAGCCAAGATAAAACATACTTTAAGAAGGAATTAGAAGTTAAAAGAAAATATTCAAGATAAATTAGGAAGAGAAACAAGAATGAAAAATACAAAAAAGGAAATAAATACAGAAAATAAAGTTAAAATGTCATTCTAACAGATATGCCATTGAGTCCTAGAAGGAGAGAGGAGAGTATAGAAGCAATACCTGCAAAATAAATAGACAGGTAAATAGATACTTGAGAACCTCCCCCAAAAATGTTCTAAAAACCCCAAAGACATAAATAAAAAGAATTCCACCTACATCACATTAAGAAATCTGCACCTAAGAACATCACCTTAAGATCTTCCTAAAGAAAAAGGGAAAATCTTAAGATCAGTCCAGAAAAGAGACGTGTCTTGAAAATAAGCAATAGAACTGACTTCAACAATGAAAGCCAGAACACGATACCTTTATAGTGCTGAAAGAAAATAACTGCCAAACTAACATTCTATAAATATAGCAAAAAAAAGGAAAATCTTTAGAGAACAGTGGTAAAATAAAGACATTTTCAGACAAATGGAACAAATTCATCCCAGAAGATGCACAGCAAAAGAAACAGTAAAGGAGTCTTCCATACACAAGGAAAATTACCTTAGATGTGAACTGGACAATGCAAAAATAAAGATAAATGAAAACTGGAAATATGTGCATAATTCTAATTGGACACAGACTGCATAAAATAATACCTTAGGATTTCTTAACAGATATAGTCTTAGAATACATAAAGAAATGGCATCTAAGTCAGTAAAGGTAGAATTACAAGTGTTACAGAGCCCTTGCACTGTATAGGAAAGGCTAAAAGTATCAATGAATATTACACTTTGAGAAGTCAAAGATGCATAATATAATCACTAGGAAAGGGGTGGGAAAATTATAGCTCATGAGCCACATTTGGCCTGTATTCTTCTTTCGCATAGTCCCAAGCCAAGAATGTTTTAAGAGCTTAAAAAGAAAAAAAAGAAAAACAATGAATACAGATGAAAAAATCCTCAACAAAATATTAACAAGTTGAATCCAATAATGTATAAAAAGATTTACACATCATGACCAAGTAGAATTTATTCCAGGCATGCAAAGCTGGTTCAACGTTTAAAAAAACGTCAATTAACGTAATCCATTACACGAATAGACTAAAGCAAAAAAATCACACGATCTTATCAATAGATGCAGAAAAAGTACTTGACAAAATCCAATACCCATTCATAATTTTAAAAACTCAACAAACTAGGTATGGAGGGGAACTTTCTCAACTTGATAAAGAACATGTATAAAAACTCTACAGCTAACATCATAGAGGTGAGAAAATAGAAATTTTTCCACTAAGATCAAGAACAAATAAAAACGTCCCCTCTCACCACTTCTTTTCAATATCATAATGGGAAGTCTTAGCTAATGTATTAAGCCAAAAAAAATAAAACACATACAAATACAAAAGGAAGAAATAAAACTCTTTCTTTGCACAGGACATGATTATCTGTGTAGAAGATCAAATTTTAAAAAAATACTCCTGGAACTGATAAACATTATAGCAAGGTTGCAGGATAGAGTTAACACAAAAAAGTCTATCAGGGCACCTGGGTATCTGAGTCAGTTAAGAGTCCAACTCTTGGTTTTGGCTCAGGTCATGATCTCATGGTTCCCAAGTTCAAGCCCCCCAGCGGGCTCTGCA